TGCACTGTGAATGTTTACATGTTATGTGCAATTAAACCATGGCAACATCTAATGTTTGTGTAGTATTATGTTCAGCAGACTGTGTTCTTCTATTGTTGTGACTTAGATGAAGTTCAGAGCACATTTTATGCCCAATTCATGCAAAACTCCACGTAATCCCAAGGGGTTCACATACCTTTTCTTGCAACTGTATATATATATATACAGGGGCGGACTGACAACTCATGGGGCCCCCGGGCAATAGGGGATCATGGGGCCCCTGTGTCCTTGCCCACACTCAAAAAAGCCTATGAAAAAGGTACCAGGGGCATCTCATGGGGCCCCCTACTGACCCCGGGCCCTCGGGCATTGCCCGAGTTTCCAAATGGTCAGTCCGCCCCTGTATATATACACACACACACACACTGTATCACTGTATGTTGAAATGCATTTTTATTACACAATATATGAAAAATATTTTTTTTAAATACATTTCAAATATACTGTATGTCTTTATAAATACAGATCTACATTTTTGGAATGCATTTACAAATATATGTAAAAATATATGTTAAAATTACTTTTTTTATATGTTAAAAAAATCTGAAGAATATATTTGTAAACAATATATTCCTAAAAATATTTTTCATATATTTTGCAATATATAAATAAAATGAATTTCAACATGCAGAGTATATATATATATAATTATTATTATTATACAGTATTTATATAGCGCCAACAGTTTGCTCAGCGCTGTACATTATAATGGGAGACAGAACAGTAACAATACAATACACGAGGGGTTCGAGGGCCCTGCTCCTTGGAGCTTACAATCTAGGAGGGAGGGGATGATGGTACAGGAGGAAATAGCTGTGGGGGATGAAGTGGTAGGAAGAGTGGAGGAGGTCAGTAATTAGCAGGGGGTGGGGTAAGCTTATATATATATATATATATATGTGTGTGTGTGTGTGTATATATATTGTTAGTTGTGTGCGACAGCACACACAGGAATGAGTTGCCATACAGACAGCACACACAAGAATGAGGGGCCATACAGACAGCACACACAGGAATGAGGGGCCATACAGACAGCACACACAGGAATGAGGGGCCATACAGACAGCACACACAGGAATGAGGGGCCATACAGACAGCACACACAGGAATGAGGGGCCATACAGACAGCACACACAGGAATGAGGGGCCATACAGACAGCACACACAGGAATGAGGGGCCATACAGACAGCACACACAGGAATGAGGGGCCATACAGACAGCACACACAGGAATGAGGGGCCATACAGACAGCACACACAGGGAATGAGGGGCCATACAGACAGCACACAGGGATGAGGGGCCATACAGATAGCGCACACAGGGATGAGGGGCCATACAGATAGCGCACACAGGGATGAGGGGCCATACAGATAGCGCACACAGGGATGAGGGGCCATACAGATAGCGCACACAGGGATGAGGGGCCATACAGATAGCGCACACAGGGATGCGGGGCCATACAGACAGCACACACAGGGATGAAGGGACATTCAGACAGCGCACACAGAGATGAGGGGCCATACAGACAGCGCACACAGAGATTAGGGGCCATACAGACAGCGCACACAGAGATTAGGGGCCATACAGACAGCGCACACAGAGATGAGGGGCCATACAGACAGTGCACACAGAGATTAGAGGTCATACAGACAGCGCACACAGAGATGAGGGGCCATACAGACAGCACACACAGAGATTAGAGGTCATACAGACAGCGCACACAGAGATTAGAGGTCATACAGACAGCAGGGTTAATGGGAATGAGACAAAGAGAGTAGTGCTATCCTGTAGCTCCCCAACAGGAATACCCATAAATTGGGCTTCAGCCTGGGGTGGAGCTGACAGACAGCAAAAACAGGATAAAAAATGTGCTTTTATTGGACAATGGGGCCACAGATCAGAATGGTGCCAAGTGCTACAGGCATTTTGCCTCCAACAAAGATTTTGGATCTTTTTTTGACCCTGCACTTGGTCCCGTTCTGCTGTGGTTGCTGTACTAACATAGTTGACAGTGTGCCCCCTCCTTGCCCCACAGCTGCCTGACCACACTGCCCAGAAGGTAACAAATACATCATTAGTTGTGAATGGCAACACACATAGGAGAGGAAGCATGCACACAGTGCATACCAAGGTGAGGGGGATTGTTGGCAACAGTGGGCCGAAGATCAAAGGTTGAGACTTCACTGCAAAAATATGAATGAGGATTTATCAGTGTAAAGTTCTTATTTAGGAATTCTGTACAGCAGAATAGGGATAATCTATGGTTAAAGGGGATAAGACAAGGAAAGTAGGTGGGGTGCTATCCTGTAGCACCCAATAGGAATACCCATAAATTGGGCTTCAGCCTGGGGTGGAGCTGACAGACAGCAAAAACAGGATAAAAAATGTGCTTCTATTGCACAATGGGGCCTCAGATCAGAATGGCGCCAAGTGCTACAGGCATTTTGCCTCCAGGGGGATTCAACAAAGATTTTGGATCTTTTTTTGACCCTGCACTTGGTCCCGCTCTGCTGTGGTTGCTGTACTAACATAGTTGACAGTGTGCCCCCTCCTTGCCCCACAGCTGCCTGGCTACACTGCCCAGAAGGTGACAAATACATCATTAGTTGTGAATGGCAACACACATAGGAGAGGAAGCATGCGCACAGTGCATACCAAGGTGAGGGGGGATTGTTGGCAACAGTGGGCCGAAGATCAAAGGTTGAGACTTCACTGCAAAAATACGAATGAGGATTTATCAGTGTAAAGTTCTTATTTAGGAATTCTGTACAGCAGAAGAGGGATGATACAGGGATAATGGGAATGAGACAAAGAGAGTAGTGCTATCCTGTAGCTCCCCAACAGGAATACCCATAAATTGGGCTTCAGCCTGGGGTGGAGCTGACAGACAGCAAAAAACAGGATAAAAAATGTGCTTTTATTGCACAATGGGGCCTCAGATCAGAATGGCGCCAAGTGCTACAGGCATTTTCCTCCAACAAAGATTTTGGATCTTTTTTTGACCCTGCACTTGGTCCCACTCCGTTGTAGTTGCTGTACTAACATAGACAACAGTGTGCCCCCTCCTTGCTGCCCCACAGCTGTCCGACCACACTGCCCAGAAGGTGACAAATACATCATTAGTTGTGAATGACGCCACACATAGGAGAGGAAGCATGCACACAGTGCATACCAAGGTGAGGGGGATTGTTGGCAACAGTGGGCCGAAGATCGAAGATGAAGGTAAGGCTGATACTACACTGCAAAAATACGAACGAGGATTTATCAGTGTAAAGTTCTTATTTAGGAATTCTGTACAGCAGAATAGGGATGATCCAGGGTTAATGGGGATGAAACAAGGAGAGGAGGTAGGGACTCAGTGCTATCCTTTAGCTTCCCAATAGGAATACCCATAAATTGGGCTTCAGCCTGGGGTGGAGCTGACAGACAGCAAAAACAGGATAAAAAATGTGCTTTTATTGCACAATGGGCCCACAGGTCAGAATGGCGCCAAGTGCCACTTGCACCTGGCACCCTGGGGATTCAACAAAGGTTATGCAAGCCTGTGGAAAAAAGAATGCACCCTCGCAGTGGGGCTACTACTGTAGTACAAGGGTTAAATACTCATTTAGGTCTGAGGTGGGGGGGGCACAAAAGGCAATTTTACTTACCTGATCCTCTATTCCCCTCCATTCCCTCTGGCTTTCCTCTACTCCCTCCGACACAGTGCTTTGAGAAACTAAATATCACCCAGTTAGATCTTTGATTTACAATTACCATCATGCACTGGGTTCTTCCATGTTCTGCTCCTGCATTAGTTGTGCGCCGGTTCAGCTCAATGCTTCAGGGGCCCCAGAGATGTAAATACAGGTCACCTTTTTTTCTGTCCAGAATTGTAGATCTTCTGGATTTGGAATTTGTAAGTAAAACGCACTGCGGGAAGAACAAGATCTGAACGCTTTGAAAATGAAAACAAAGAAAACTGTAAACGTCGGATGTTTTCATCATTTGTGAATTTTACGGATGTGTCCCCTGCGGTTCGATATTATGACTGTTTTCATTTCAGAAGTTTTTTATGTTAAAATGTTGAGGTGAAGTAGAACTAGTACAGCTCAAGATTCCCTACGGGGAGCGTGTGAGCGACAACAAACATATCATTCAACTAAGAGGGATAAAAAAGAAACATTGTCAGAGGATCAGCAACAATGTAACCAGGTTATTACACCTTTGTAGTCTATTGCTTTACACCAGTGGTCCCCAAACCCCCAAACTGAGCCCCACAGGCTGGATGGGACCCTTTGCTTGCCTTTAACTGGCTCCTGGGGTGCTGACATCAGTGATGGGGCACTATTTCTACCACTGACACCAATGATGGGGCACTATTCCTCCCACTGACACCAATGATGGGACACTATTCCTCCCACTGATACCAATGATGGGGCACTATTCCTCCCACTGACACCAATGATGGGGCACTATTCCTCCCACTGACACCAATGATGGGACACTATTCCTCCCACTGACACCAATGATGGGACACTATTCCTCCCACTGACACCAATGATGGGACACTATTCCTCCCACTGACACCAATGATGGGGCACTATTCCTCCCACTGATACCAATGATGGGGCACTATTCCTCCCACTGACACCAATGATGGGGCACTATTCCTCCCACTGACACCAATGATGGGGCACTATTCCTCCCACTGATACCAATGATGGGGCACTATTCCTCCCACTGATACCAATGATGGGGCACTATTCCTACCTTTGACACAAAAAAAAATGGGGCTCTATTCCTCCCACTGACACCAAACATAACCGTTTCTACCACTGGCATGAACAATGGGCAACTCCTCTAACCGTTTTCTGTCTGCTACCCCTCTCTGCCAATCGCTCCACTGGCCTCCAATCAGTGTCCCCCATCCCTCTCTGCCAATCCCCTCCACTGGCCTCCAATCAGTGTCCCCCATCCCTCTCTGCTAATCCCTCCACTGGCCTCCAATCAGTGTCCTCTACCCCTCTTTTCCAATCCCTCCACTGGCCTCCACTCAGTGTTCTCTACCCCTCTCTGCCAATCCCTCCACTGGCCTCTAATTAGTGTCCTCCATCCCTCTCTGCCAATCCCTTCTCTGGCCTCCAATCAGTGTCCTCCACTCCTCTCTGCCAATCCCTCCACTGGCCTCCAATCAGTGTCCTCCATCCCTCTCTGCCAATCCCTTCACTGGCCTCCAATATGTGTCCTTCATCCCTCTCTGTCAATCCCTTCACTGACCTCCACTCGTGTCCACCACCCCTCTCTGCCAATCCCTCCACTGGTCTCCACTCAGTGTCCTCTACCCCTCTCTTCCAATCCCTCCACTGGCCTCCAATCAGTGTCCTCCACCCCTCTCTGTCAATCCCTTCACTGACCTCCACTCGTTGTCCTCCATCCCTCTCTGCCAATCCCTTCTCTGGCCTCCAATCAGTGTCCTCCACTCCTCTCTGCCAATCCCTCCACTGGCCTCCAATCAGTGTCCTCCATTCCTCTCTGCCAATCCCTTCACTGGCCTCCAATATGTGTCCTTCATCCCTCTCTGTCAATCCCTTCACTGACCTCCACTCGTTGTCCACCACCCCTCTCTGCCAATCCCTTCACTGACCTCCACTCAGTGTCCTCCACCCCTCTCTGCCAATCCCTCCACTGGTCTCCACTCAGTGTCCTCTACCCCTCTCTTCCAATCCCTCCACTGGCCTCCAATCAGTGTCCTCCACCCCTCTCTGTCAATCCCTTCACTGACCTCCACTCGTTGTCCACCACCCCTCTCTGCCAATCCCTTCACTGACCTCCACTCAGTGTCCTCCACCCCTCTCTGCCAATCCCTCCACTGGCCTCCACTCAGTGTCCTCTAAACCTCTCTTCCAATCCCTCCACTGGCCTCCAAGCAGTGTCCTCCACCCCTCTCTTCCAATCCCTCCACTGGCCTCCATTCAGTGTCCACCACCCCTCTCTGCCAATCCCTTCACTGACCTCCACTCAGTGTCCTCCATCCCTCTCTGCCAATCCCTCCACTGGCCTCCAATCAGTGTCCTCCATCCCTCTCTGCCAATCCCTCCACTGGCCTCCACTCGGTGTCCTCCACCCCTCTCTGCCAATCCCTTCACAGACCTCCACTCGGTGTGTCCTCCATCCCTCTCTGCCAATCCCTTCACTGACCTCCACTCAGTGTCCTCCACCCCTCTCTGCCAATCCCTTCACTGGCCTCCAATCAGTGTCCTCCACCTCTCTCTGCCAATCCCTCCACTGGCTCCCGCTCACCCAACAAATAAAACTCAAGATACAACATATAAAGCCATCCACTACTTAGCCCCTAGTTACATCACTAACCTGGTCTCAAAATACCAACCAAATAGTTCTCTTCGTTCCTCCGAAGACCTCATTCTCTCTAGCTCCCATATTCGCCTCCAGGATTTCTCCAGAGCCACTCCCATCCTCTGGAACTCCCTTCCCCAATGTGTCCAAGTATCTCCATCTCTGTCCAGTTTTAGACGATCCCTGAAAACTCATCTCTTCAGATCCTGCCAGCACCCAACAACTGTACATGTATTTTGTCGTCAGCCCATCCCCCGCAGTTATTACCTTTGTATCTCTCGACCCTCCCTCTTAGATTGTAAGCTCTGAGGAGCCGGGCCCTCTGATTCCTCCTGTATTCATTTGTGTTGTAATTGCACTGCCTGCCCTGATGTTGTAAAGTGCTGAGTACACTGTTGGCTCCATATAAATCCTGTATAATAATATGAAGGGAGTTTATGCTGCACTTTGGGGCAGGATCTGTGTTGGGATCACATGACTACCGGGGGATAAGCATGTACAAAACTAATGATGGGGAAATGTTGGTGCAATCATCAGCAACCAATCACATTCTGTTTTTTCCACTTGGCATAAACAATTTGATTGCCTACAGCAGTGCAGAGTATTTCAGGAGAGGAGTTATAGAGGAAGGAGCGGAGTCCTCCAGCAGTGCAGAGTATTTCAGGAGAGGAGAGTTATAGAGGAAGGAGAGGAGTCCTCCAGCAGTGCAGAGTATTTCAGGAGAGGAGTTATAGAGGAAGGAGAGGAGTCCTCCAGCAGTGCAGAGTATTTCAGGAGAGGAGAGTTATAGAGGAAGGAGCGGAGAGTACTCCAGCAGTGCAGAGTATTTCAGGAGAGGAGTTATAGAGGAAGGAGCGGAGTCATCCAGCAGTGCAGAGTATTTCAGGAGAGGAGAGTTATAGAGGAAGGAGCGGAGTCCTCCAGCAGAGCAGAGTATTTCAGGAGAGGAGAGTTATAGAGGAAGGAGCGGAGTCCTCCAGCAGAGCAGAGTATTTCAGGAGAGGAGAGTTATAGAGGAAGGAGCGGAGTCCTCCAGCAGTGCAGAGTATTTCAGGAGAGGAGAGTTATAGAGGAAGGAGCGGAGTCCTCCAGCAGTGCAGAGTATTTCAGGAGAGGAGAGTTATAGAGGAAGGAGCGGAGTCCTCCAGCAGTGCAGAGTATTTCAGGAGAGGAGAGTTATAGAGGAAGGAGAGGAGTCCTCCAGCAGTGCAGAGTATTTCAGGAGAGGAGTTATAGAGGAAGGAGCGGAGTCCTCCAGCAGAGCAGAGTATTTCAGGAGAGGAGAGTTATAGAGGAAGGAGCGGAGTCCTCCAGCAGAGCAGAGTATTTCAGGAGAGGAGAGTTATAGAGGATGGAGCGGAGTCCTCCAGCAGAGCAGAGTATTTCAGGAGAGGAGAGTTATAGAGGAAGGAGAGGAGTCCTCCAGCAGAGCAGAGTATTTCAGGAGAGGAGAGTTATAGAGGAAGGAGCGGAGTCCTCCAGCAGTGCAGAGTATTTCAGGAGAGGAGAGTTATAGAGGAAGGAGCGGAGTCCTCCAGCAGTGCAGAGTATTTCAGGAGAGGAGAGTTATAGAGGATGGAGCGGAGTCCTCCAGCAGCGCAGAGTATTTTCAGGAGAGGAGAGTTATAGAGGAAGGAGAGGAGTCCTCCAGCAGCGCAGAGTATTTGCAGGAGAGAGTTATAGAGGAAGGAGCGGAGTCCTCCAGCAGCGCAGAGTATTTCAGGAGAGGAGAGTTATAGAGGAAGGAGAGGAGTCCTCCAGCAGCGCAGAGTATTTCAGCAGAGAGGAGTTATAGAGGAAGGAGCGGAGTCCTCCATTTGCAGAGTATTTCAGAGAGAGGGTTATAGAGGAAGGAGCGGAGTCCTCCGGCAGAGCAGAGTATTTCAGGAGAGGAGTTATAGAGGAAGGAGAGGTCCTCCAGCAGTGCAGAGTATTTCAGGAGGAGAGTTATAGAGGAAGGAGCGGAGTCCTCCAGCAGTGCAGAGTATTTCAGGAGAGGAGAGTTATAGAGGAAGGAGCGGAGTCCTCCAGCAGTGCAGAGTATTTCAGGAGAGGAGTTATAGAGGAAGGAGCGGAGTCCTCCAGCAGTGCAGAGTATTTCAGGAGAGGAGTTATAGAGGAAGGAGCGGAGTCCTCCAGCAGCGCAGAGTATTTCAGGAGAGGAGAGTTATAGAGGAAGGAGCGGAGTCCTCCAGCAGTGCAGAGTATTTCAGGAGAGGAGTTATAGAGGAAGGAGCGGAGTCCTCCAGCAGTGCAGAGTATTTCAGGAGAGGAGTTATAGAGGAAGGAGCGGAGTCCTCCAGCAGTGCAGAGTATTTCAGGAGAGGAGTTATAGAGGAAGGAGCGGAGTCCTCCAGCAGTGCAGAGTATTTCAGGAGAGGAGTTATAGAGGAAGGAGCGGAGTCCTCCAGCAGTGCAGAGTATTTCAGGAGAGGAGTTATAGAGGAAGGAGCGGAGTCCTCCAGCAGTGCAGAGTATTTCAGGAGAGGAGTTATAGAGGAAGGAGCGGAGTCCTCCAGCAGTGCAGAGTATTTCAGGAGAGGAGAGTTATAGAGGAAGGAGCGGAGTCCCTCCAGCAGTGCAGAGTATTTCAGGAGAGGAGTTATAGAGGAAGGAGCGGAGTCCTCCAGCAGGAGATGATTGATTGCTGTGATTCCAGCATGGTTTTGCCACGTCCCCAGATTTCCAGGCCCTACATGTTGTCTTGAGTTGCTTTCTGATGACCTCAATTCATTGATATATTTCTGTGACATTGACTCTGGACTTGTACTAGCCGGCTCAAAGCACCATTTCCTGTTTTCACAACACAGATCCTGACGTTCTGTCCAGCGGATAAACCCCGGGAGAGCCCCCGACACCTTCTTCTACCCAGAGGGATTGAGTTCACTGCTGAACCCCGCACACAGAGAATTGGATGTCACCCTTCTTCTAGGCCACCCAAGACATCTGGTGGACTCATTGGTCACTGATTTTTTTTTTTTTTTTTTTTTTACATGGATCCTTGCACTTTTTTTTTTTTTAATTTTTTTTTTTTTTGTAGCCTCCCCAGGATGCAGCCAATCTATATCTCTGCAGTACTTCTCTAAAAAAAGTCCCAGCATGCACTTCCAAGGTATGACGGTGTCTCGGTATTTGCAGGAGCTGGAGGACTGCGCCGCTCCATCATTCCACCTTTCGAAGAGTTTTCTCTTTCTTTTTTAATTTTCACTCTAGAACGTTTTTTTTTGGTTTTTTTTTGCATCCGGAAAAGTTTCTTTATGGACATTTAGAGTTTGGTTGGCTGAACCACAGCAGCCATCGGCCTCAGTTTGTAGAGCTTCCCACCACCGACCACCCAGAATTCCTCACTTCAATGCTGGAATTTCCTTTGAGGAGGCCTTCTGAAGTACATTGCAAGCATTTTTATTTTTTTTATTTTTATTTTTTTCTTGGGAAAAAAAAAATAGGGAATGAGTTAAATATTTAGTTTAGGCATTCATTATTGTGAAATTGCAATTTTGTACAAATTTGTTACAAATAAAGGTGGTGAAGTGGAAACTTGTCTCCTGGAAAGAAGTATTGTTGATCAATGGATATTTTTTTTTTTTATATTTGGAGGTCAATGTTTTTTTTTTAATGAAACTAGAATCTATTGCGGGGGTCTCCGAGCTTTTTAAGCAATGGGCTAGTTTACTGTCCTTCAGACTTCATGGGGGGGCGGAATGTGGTCAGCAGGGGTAGAAAATGCTTCAGGTTGGTGGTCAGTGGGGGTAAAATAATTACATAAAGCCTGTGGGCTGTAGGAAGAGGAATATAGCCCCATAATTGGAGTCAGTGGGGGCATGACTCTTCAACATTGGTGTCAGTGGGAGGAATAGTGCCCCATCATTGGTATTAGTAGGAAGAATAATATCCATCATTGGTGTCAGTGGGAGGAATAGTGCCCCATCATTGGTGTCAGTGGGAGGAATAGTGCCCCATCATTAGTGTCAGTGGGAGGAATTGTGCCCTATCATTGGTGTCAGTGGGAGGAATAGTGCCCCATCATTGGTGTCAGTGGGAGAAATAGTGCCCCATCATTGGTGTCAGTGTGAGGAATAGTGCCCTATCATTGGTGTCTGTGGAAGGAATAGTGCCCTATCATTGGTGTCTGTGGAAGGAATAGTGCCCTATCATTGGTGTCTGTGGAAGGAATAGTGCCCCATCATTGGTGTCAGTGGGAGGAATAGTGCCCCATCATTGGTGTCAGTGGGAGGAATAGTGCCCCATCATTGGTGTCAGTGGGAGGAATAGTGCCCCATCATTGGTGTCAGTGGGAGGAATAGTGCCCCATCATTGATATTAGTGGGAAGAATAATCCCCATCATTGGTATCAGTGGGAGGAATAGTGCCCCATCATTGGTGTCAGTGGGAGGAAATGTGTCCCATTATTGGTGTCAGTGGGAGGAATGGTGTCCCATCATTGGTGTCAGTGGGAGGAATAGTGCCCTATCGTTAGTATCAGTGGGAGGAATAGTGCCCTATCGTTAGTATCAGTGGGAGGAATAGTGCCCCATCATTGGTGTCAGTGGGAGGAATAGTGCCCCATCATTGGTGTCAGTGGGAGGAATAGTGCCCCATCATTGGTATCAGTGGGAGGAATAGTGCCCCATCATTGGTGTCAGTGGGAGGAATAGTGCCCCATCATTGGTGTCAGTGGGAGGAATAGTGTCCCATCATTGGTATCAGTGGGAGGAATAGTGCCCCATCATTGGTATCAGTGGGAGGAATAGTGCCCCATCATTGGTGTCAGTGGGAGGAATAG